ATTGGTTCTTCCTACCCAGGAACAGGGGATATGTCCCCTTTTTCTTATATCCTCTTCAATAACATTTTTCAGAGTGCTGTAGTTCTCAAAGTAGAGGTCTTTTGCTTCTTTTGTTAGATTGATTCTTAGATATTTCATTTTTTTTGGATGCTACTGTGAAAAGGATCGTTTCCCTAATTTCTCTTTCAGTTAGTCTGTTATTTAGGTATGAGAAGGCTATTGATATTTGAGTGTTGACCTTGTATCCAGATACTCTACAGAATCTGTCAATTAAGTCTAGAAGTCTTTTGGTGGAGTTTTTAGGGTCTTCTATGTAGAATATCATATCGCCAGCAAACAATGACAGTTTAACTTCTTCCTTTCCTATCTTTATTCCTTTTATTTCTCTCTTCTAATTTTATTTCTTTCTCTCTTCTAATGTTTCCAGAACTATATTGAACAGGAGTAGTGATAGTGGACATTCTTGTCTTGTTCCTGATTTTAGCATGAAGGATTTTTCAGTTTTTGACCATTTAGTATGATGTTGGCTGTTGTTTTTTCATAGATAGCCTCTATCAAGTTGAGATAAAGACCATCTATTCCAATTTTCTGTAGGGTTTTTATCATGAATGGGTGTTGAATTTTGTTGAATGATTTTTCTGTGTCTATTGAGATGATATGATTTTTGTCCTTGACTCTGTTAATATAGTGTATTACATTTATTGATTAACATATGTTGAACCATCCTTGCATCCCAGGGATAAATCAGAATTGGTCAGGGTGCATGATCTTCTTGATGACCCTCTGTATTCTGTTTGCCAGTATCTTATTGAGGTTTTTTTTGCATCTATGTTCATTAGGGAGATTGGCCTGTAGTTCTCTTTTTGGATTGGGTCTTTCCCTGGTGTTGGAATCAAAGTAAAATTTGCTTCCAGGAATGCATTTGGAAGTATTGCTTCCCTTTCAATTTCATTGAAAAGTTTAAAGAGTAATGTCAATAGTTCTCTAAATGTCTTGTAGAATTCAGCAGTGAAGCCATCAGGCCCTGGGCTTTTCTATGTTGGTAAATTTTTAATTATATTTTCAATTCCACTGATTATAATTGGGGTGTTTATAATTTTTATATCTTCTTCGTTCAACTTTGGTAATTCATATGTATCTAGAAATCTGTCCATTTCTTCTGTGTTTTCCATTTTATTAGAGTATAAGTTCTTGAAGTAGGTATTGACGATCCTCTAGATTTCTGGTCAATCTGTTGTGACATCACCTTTTTTGTTCCTAATTGTATGAATTTGATTTTCTCTCCTTTTTTTGATAATGTTGGGTAAGAGTTTATCTATTTTATTTCTTGTTTCAAAAAAACAATTCTTCTATTCATTGATTTTTTTTTGTATTGTTCTCTTAGTCTCCATTGCATTGATTTCTCCTCTGATCTTTATAATTTCCTCCCTTGCATGAGCTTTGGGGTTGTCTTGCTCTTCTTCTAGGAGCTTAAAATTCAGCATTAGGTTGTTCATTTGCACTCTCTCTGTTTTCTTAGTGTGGGCATTCACTGCAATGAATTTCCCTCATATAACTGTTTTCATTGTGTCCCATAGATTCCTGTATGTTGTACTGGCATTATCATTTATTTGTAAAAACCATCTAATTTCTTCTTTAATTTCCACTGACTCATTGGTTGTTCAGGATAGTGTTATTAAATTTCCATATGTTTGTGAAGTTCTTGCAGTTACTTATGCTATTGATCTCCAGTTTAATTGCACTATGGTCTGATAATATACACAGGATAAATTCAATTCCTTTGCATTTACTTAAACATGTTCTATGAGCTAGCATTTGGTCTATTTTGGAGAATGACCCATGTGCAGATGAAAATGATGTATATTCTGATTTTGTTGGGTGGAACCCTCTGTAGACATCTATCAAGTCCATTTGTTCAAAAGCTTGGTTCAGTTCTAGCATTTTGTTGTTGACTTTTTGTCTAGATGATCTGTCTATTTGTGACAGTGGGGTATTGAGGTCCCCCACTACAATTGTATTAGTGCTTATTTGGTTTTTCATGTCCCTTAATATTTATTTTGCATAGTTGGTGGCAGTAGTATTTGGTGCATATATATTTATGATTGTCATCTCTTTCTCTTGGATTGTTCCCTTTATAAGTACCTAGGGTCCTTCTTTGTTTCTCTTAATTAGTTTTGGTTTTGAAATTTACTGCAAATAAGATAGCTACCCCTGCTTTTTTCTGGGTTCCTGTCACATGGAGAACAGTTTTCCATCCTTTTACTTTCAGTCTATGAGTTTCTTTTTGAACTAGGTGGGTTTCTTGTATACAGCATATTATTGGGTTTTGCTTCTTAAACCATTCTTCCAGTCTATTTCTTTTGATTGGTGAATTGCACCATTAACATTGATAGTTATAACTTATATGTATTGACATTATTGTCATGTTATTTTCCTGTTGTTGATTCTTTTTTATTTTTTTCCCCTCTCCTTTTAATTTCTTGCCTTGCCTGATGTATTTGCTCTTTTGGGCCTTATGGAGTTGTGACCTTTGTTATCTTTATCTAGGATATTATTTAGAATTGTTTGGAGTACTGGTTTGGTATTCATGAAGTTTCTCAGGTGTCCTTTGTCATGGAAGTATTTTATTGCTCCATCAATTTTGAAAGATAGTTTTGTAGGGTACATCAGTCTAGATTGGAGGTTGTTTTCTTTTAGGGCTTGAAATACCTCACTCCAGGCTCTCTTTTACTTGAGGGTTTGTGTTGAAATGTCTGCTGTCACTTAATCATTTAATATTTATTATTTTAGTTAATTTTAACAAACACCTGCTGGTTTGCTCTTCTGTGCCATTTTGCTAAGCCCCCAGGGATACAACAATGAGAAATTTTGATGAATTGGATAACACACCTGGTGTATTGTACATTGTGTTTAATGAATGGCTATGCTTGATTTCAAAATAAAGAAATCTTTGCCTCCTTCTGCTTTATTTTAATTCTTCCTTTTTGTCCTTTGACATTTCACACAAATTTGGTCACTTTTCCAGTCACTTCAAATAATAAATTATCTTAATTGGGTAACTAAGACTTAATTTTAAATAAAACATACAGTCAACGATAGCATCAAAACTTTCATATCATTTGATTAAAGCTGTTCTTATCCATCCAACTATGACAAAAACTTTTGTCAAATAACGTAAGTTAGAGGAAGGTAAAATAATGTCTTTGTCTTATCTTCTATTTTCTACTCTGTTTCACCAGTTTCTGTGTTGAAAGACAAACAGGAGAAATGTATCACCAGAGTAGTTTTCTTTTGGTCAACATGACTCCTTTAGTAGACCAGAGCTGCAGGTTCTGCTCTTTCTGTAGTTTCATGGATCCTGGCATGTAATAAATATGAGGCTGGGAAAAGAGATGCTGACCTCATTTCCAGTCAACACAATAAAAATACCTTCCCTCTGGGCATTTGACACTTGGTTTGCTGGGTGGCACCATTCCTCTGTCCTCTACATTAACTCTCTCCAAGGACCCCAGTCAGTCTTTTTTTTTTAATTTTGGAAAAATACAAGTAATCTCCTTTTTGTACTTTTAATTAATTAATTAATTAATTAATTTTTTGAGCCATTGTCTCATCCAGGCTGACCTTGAACACACTATGTAGCCTAGGCAGGCCTCAAACTCTTGGTGATCCTTTTGCCTCAGACTCCAAGCTCTGGGATTACATGTGTGCACCACCACACCTGGATTTTCCTTTTTTTAAACAGCCAGAAATAGGAGACCAAGATTGATAGTCACTGGAACAGTTTTGAGTTTATCTTTGTTGTTTTGTAAGTTTAATATGGTAAAATTTAATACTTTTCTTTAAAGAATAGAAATAATTATTTTCAAGTACCATTACATTTTGTCATCATAAATAAATTATCCATGGAGATTTATTAAATTTGTTTCTAATATCCCTGTAACTTGAATTGTGACACCTTGATACCAGTAAAGCAGGTCTTCTGTTCCTTGCATATGTTAAGTTCTTCTCTTTTAATTTGCTATGTAAGACATAAGGATTAAGCCTTTCCATAATCAATACCATCACCATCATCAGGACATCCAAATCCCACATGATTCTCAGCACAATTCCTAGTATCTTTCCAGCAGTTCTAGACTGTTTCTCATATGATCAGAAAACACCTTCAAGAAAGCAAAATCATCTCTCCCAGCAATAGGATGCCAATCTCAGGGCAAAATATTTTTACGACTAAACAATGCTTGAAAAGAAGTGCACCTACTTCCTCTGATCAAAATGACTATTTCCAGTAGGCCTGTTTCCGTACAACCACATTTCATAAACAGCCATCAACTCCTGCATCTACCCAGTTTCTTCTTTGTCCAAACCTTTTCATTGTCTTTCTGTTTTTCCAAAGAACCAAGCACATTCTTTTTCCCTCCAACACTGTTTTACTTGTTTGGAGCTCCATCTTCAACTTTCACATCACTGGCATTGTGGGTTTTCCATTTATTTGTGACTTCCCTTTCCCATCTGACCAGGATTTAAGTGAACATACTGTTTTCAACCAAATATAACTTTGTTTCCACCAAAAGACAACATCCACATTTCGATGTAATAGGTATGTGAAGGTGTCATTTGGATAGTGATGCTTGCATAACATTCCAGTGGCTGTCACTTGTATGTTATTTGGGAGTAAAGGAGTTTGTTAAAGAGATGTTAACAGAGATTATGATACTTGTATCCCAAGCCTCTCTGCCACCTCTAGAAACATGCCCAAACGCTTCTGCAAACCAGACACCTGAGGTTTCATCTTAGCTTTCTTTAAAGCCACAAGTCTATCTTTGACACTATTTCTGGGAATTCTGAGTAACATAATACGTGGTGTATTCAGTATTAAAGTTTGTTCCACCATATGCTGTGGCTAAGTGATGATGTTTAAAAGGATCTAAATAGAAAGTGTGCTATAAAATCAGCCATTTATACTTCATTTATCTTATACAAGAAACATTCTTTCCCAATAGACCCCTGCAAGGAAGATGAGTTTCAGTGCGAAAATGGAGAGTGTATTCCACTGGTGAATCTGTGTGACAGCCACCCACACTGTCAGGATGGCTCAGATGAAGCACATTGTGGTATGTCTCATTTTTACAAAAATACTTGTATTCGTTTAACCTCTTGTAATTACAAGATATTATATATAT